TCATTTAGGTATTGAATGCTTTTATCGAGAATAATCTCATTATATTAAGTGAGTGTTTAGTGCATTGAAGTATAAATTATACAGAATTTTAACATTTAATTCATTAATGCATTACCTTTGTATTTGTCTAGGCATGTAACATTTAATCGGCCAATGAGCTTGCACATTTGTTACCTTAGTAAGCGATTTCTAATCAGCTTATAGTATTAAAATCATTTTAATCGCTACTGTTTACATAATATCTAAATTTAAATTGTTGCTTGTTTATTCAGTCAGACATTAATTACTCGCTTTACGACTGTATAGTGTTTTATAGCATATTATGTATCAATCAATGAATTTGTAGACAATTACGAGTGAAAATAATTGCGGAGACAAGTAATGAGCCGTTAATTAGTTTTCTTTATTGTAATATCAATAATATATTTACTATTTTTTATAGACCTTACGATCAATCAAATTATCAATTCTTGTCCACAAATATCTCATCATTTGTTTTGTTCACACAAACCATTCGTCCGCTTATATATAATATCAAACTTAAAATATATAATCATTTCTCGTATAATAGCTATAATTATAATAATAAAAGTTTAAGTAATAAAAACAAATGACTTATTCGTATGGATAGGTTAACAGATTCATAGAATTTGTTATACAAATAGAGATATAATTATAATTTACAATAATATTAATGATTAGGAGAATTTGATTCTTGATAAAAATTCATTCGTTAAAAATAACTTAAAACATAAAATAATTATAATAATTAAAAAACGGGACAAAAACTTAGTTTCAAAAACATATTTCATACATATATATGTGTTTTCGTAACGAATATAATATAATATAATAGAGAATTGAGTGAATAATTATAATAATAGAAATAAATAGCATAATAATATTCTTGAAAATTGTATTGTATGTACAAGTACCATTAATTAATTTGTGTTTCGATTATTATTATGTCATATATTTATCTAACATAAGCATTAACACGAGACTAAAGTGATATTTTATGAAGTATACAATAGGTATTTATATAAGAGACAAATAACAAAGAATAGTAAGTAAGTAAGTTCAAATAGTAATATTAAGAATATTCGTATTAATAATAATCAGAATAAATAGTACATGAAGTGCACAAAAAATATATCCATATATTCATACACTAATACACTAATAAAAATACTAATTAAGTTGCGATGACATAGCCGTGGAGACCGGTAATAGGGTAAGTGCCGGTCCCCTCCCGTACGCCATACAACCCGCATACAAGTTGTTCCGATAGCTATCCGATTGTATTGTGTTTTTTGTTTGTAAAATACATTTAACTACAGATTTGTGTCTATAATGTGTTTCTTGTGTTACGATTCGTAGAGAAGGCGCTGGAAATGAGGAATGATTTCCCAATTTGGCAAATGTAGCGAAAACTCGAGGGCCACCAACACCGAGAACTCCATCGAAATCAACTCCTTTCGGTTCAGTCGAAAGCCCGACTCAATCCTCTGAAACATAGGTAACGAGAAAACAAAAGTTTAGATTTTTTTGTGTGATTTTAGTAAATGAAAAGCACTTAAGAGGTAAACGTTTGGCAAAAAAGTTTTTTTTGAGTCCCTTTGAGAGAGACTTTTATTTCTATTTTTTCGGTGATGTATTAGCAGTGCATTGGATGGTCGGTGCGATCCATACCTCAATCAATGTCTTGAGTTCGACGCCTTTCACGTCATTGAGTTTGGCGGACAGTATAAGACAAGCGCCGGCACACAGCTTACGGTTGTCAAATGACTAGTTGCTGAACTCATAGTCAAAGAGCTTCATCTGCATGCTGACTCGCTAGCAGTCCTTTAGCTAAGGCGTGAACTTAAGTCCCTGTCTGTGTGTCTGTCACTCTTATTTAAGTATAATAAATCATATATAAACATAATATTCTGTATATTCTGTATATTCTGTGCAATTCTCCGAGCAATTTGCGAATGAAATCATAATAAATGGATAAAACATTTATAACTCGAAATGCGATTTCGATATAAAATATAATGAAAAATAAGATTTGTGTTCATATAGTCTGATAGGTATTGTGTTGGAAGGAGGAGAGACAGACAGTTATTTTACAGACAGGTATTACTTTGTATATTATGAGAGAGAGAGAGAGAGAGAGAGAGAGAGAGAGAGAGAGACTTTTATTTGCCATTTCGACGTTATGTTATTGAAAATAAAGTATTTTCTTATGTATAAAGTCACACAAATTCAGGACTAAATTCAGAAATATTAGAATATTTTATATGATAAGTCTGTCGCAAATCAATAAAAACAATATTAAACTAAACTTAAACTCCAGACCAGACTTTATGGCATAATATTACTATTGATTCTCGAAAATAAATATCAGTAAAAACGGTATAAAATAAATGTTGACTTAAAGTGAAGTCTGTTTTCTTAGGAATACAGAAAATTTGAATAAAACTTTTATTATTATATAACTGATGGCTATATTAGAGACAAATGTGTGAATTGTATTGTAGTGTAAATACAGACATAATATGATTATACGTGAAGGACTGGTAGCAGTTCTTACCTCATGTCTGGCTATTTTGGACATCTCTTTCTTCAAAGACCGTAATTTACTTAACGTTAACTGAATGTAAGGAAACCTTTCCTTGAATTTGTCGTTCAACTCCTTCTTAAGGTCCGTCGGCTTAACGTAATCTATAATTGAGGTCTAAATACATATCAAAGACAGGAAATGTTCATTAAGTTTAAGTATTAATTAGCATGAGATCCATGAAGTGATTATTCATTATTCATATATACTCTACACTTATGGCAAAACTAATGATTCACTTAATGTGTGCCAACTCTTACAGGAATTATCTCTCTATTTATAATTGAATCTAATTTTACATAAACACAGTTCATATGTTGTGATTAAATTTGTGTCTTAATTAAGTGTATAATTAGATTAACTATTAATTTAAGAAAAACATAAATTATTTATATGTAAATGCATTTCAT